CCTGCAGCCATGGAGGGGAATGGTGGAGCAGAGATCCACCTGCAGCCATGGAGGGGAATGGTGGAGCAGAGATCCACCTGCAGCCATGGAGAACCCCACACTGGCGCAGGCGGCTGCACCCAAAGGAGGCCGTGACTCCATGGGAAGCCCTCGCTGGAGCAGTCTGCACCCTGCAGAAGGGACCCACACTGGAGCAGTTCGTGAAGAACTGCAGCCCATGGGAAGAACTCACGTTGGAGAAGTTCATGGAGGACTGTCTCCCATGGGAGGGACCCTGCGCTGAGCAGGGGAAGAGTGTGAGGACTCCTCCCCCCAAGGAGGGGGGAGCAGCAGAGACAATGTGTGATGGACTGACCACTGCCCCCATTCCTCGTCCCCCTGTGCCGCTGGGGGAAAGGACGTAGAGAAATGGGAGCAAAGTTGAGCCTGGGAAGAAGGGTGAGGCGGGAAGAAGGTGTTTTTAAGATTTGGTTTTATTTCTTGTTATCCTACTATGATTTGATTGGTAACAAATTAAATTGATTTTTTTTCCCCAAGTCAAGTCTGATTTGCCCGTAACCATAACTGGTGAGTGATCCCTCCCTGTCCTTGTCCCAAACCATGCGGTTTTACCTTTTTTTCTTCCAATTCTCCTTCCCATCCCACCAGGGGCAGGGGCGGCAGGGAAGGAGTGAGCAAGCGGCCACATGGTGTTTGGCTGCCGGCTAAACTAAGACACCACCCCTCCTGAAATACTTGGAACATATTCTTTGTTCGCATATGGAAGGGAAAGCATGGGGAGCAGTAATAGGGACACCTGCAGTACTTCTAGTATGCCTCCCGAGCGTAACAATTCTCTCAGATTAAGTCCTCAGTCTGTGGACTCAGATCATCGTTATTTGTCACTTACCATTCCAGCAATTTTTGCTCCTGGAGGCTATAACCAGCTGGCAAAAGGTAATTCCGATAATTCTGAAGCTGGTTAGCATGACAGCTATCGTGGACCCAGACATGAGACACACAAGGGATCCCTCTGGCAAGGCACAGCAAGTATTTCCGAGTTCGACAATGCTGATCCGCAATTAGGAGACACTGATATGCAGCGTTACACTTCAGGGGAGATAAAAAGACAAGTAAACAGGAGACAATGCTTGCAAAAAAACCCCAGAAGCTACCTGCTGCTAAACACTTGAAAGAAGAAAACCACTGAAACCCTCATTTTCACAGCCATATTATGTGAGAGGTGAATGAGATAAACAGATTCTGAAATCGGGAGTACCTGTATAATCACCTATTCCAAACTGTGCAGTTCACAGGCAGAAACTCTGCCTAGTTCTTTTTGTATCACAACTATCTCTTCCAGTTCAGACAAAGGAGAAGATTCATCTTTTAGTCTGAGACTCTAGAGAAGACTCTGCATCCTCAGGGAAGATGCTCCAAGAACAATTTACCCTCTTTATTAACAGTCTGGATCTAAGTGACACTAAGTTAAATTAGTTGTCCAAGCAGATCAGGGAAGTGAAGAGTGAAGAGCTACTTCTAAGTGCTTCCAGGCACAGACCTGTGGTGAGACCACATCTGGAGTGCTGCATCCACTCCTAGGTTTCACAGTACAACAAAAGCACAAGACATGCTGGAACAGGCCCAGCTGAGGACCACTAAGATATCTGGGCATCAGAGCATGTGACGTACAAGATGACGCTGAGAGAGCTGAGCTTGTTTAAGCTCAAGAAGGGAAGGCCTGGGTGGTTTTATCAATGCATATCCACGACTGATAGGAGCGTGTACAAAAGACAGAGCCAGACTCTTCTCGGTAAAACAACAAGCAACATGTACAAACTGAAATACAGGAAATTCCATTAAGATTTTTTTAATTGGGGGTGGTCAAACACAGGATCAAGTTTCCCAGAAAGGTTGTAGAGTTTCCATCCTTGAGGATACTCAAAACCCAACTGGACAAGGATGTAAGCAATCTGCTCTATTTCACCTTGCTTTCAGCAGGGCGGTTGGACAAGATAAGCTATAGAAATTCCTTCCAATCTCAACTATTCTGTGACTATCGTTCTAGACGAAAAAGTGAGCCCTTACCTGGGCTTCATTGAAGTCTTCCAGGATATAGCCAGCTCCTGCTCGCAGCTGCTGTGCTATGTAATGTTTGTCATATGGAGTTATCTCTGCAAAATCTACAGCAGAAACAGAAAGTTTAATTTTTGGCTATAATCTATCTGCTTACATCCATCCACTCCTCAGTCTACAGAGCCACCAGCCGCCATCCACTCCAGGAAGGGATCCCAGCCTTTCTCCTAAGAATATAAAGAAAAAACCCTTGGAAGAGTCCAAAAAAAAAAAAAAAAAAAACCCACAAAAAAAAAAAAAAAAAGGGGCGTCAATGGAAAGGGAAGCACAGTACGGCCAAACTAGCCAAGTGACTTCCTTGTTACTTTTTTCATGCTGCAGTTCGTTGCATGAAACATGACCCCAGCAAAGGCGAACTGGAGCAACCCATTCATGCTTTCAAGTCGTGTTTCCCAGCACTACCCCTTATCTCTCAAAACCCTCCTTCTTATATTATACTATTCTGAGACTGCTGATCTCACTTATTTTCATACCTTTCTTAATTTGCTGAACTGCCCTATGATCATCATTGAGGTTTGCCACATTTCAGGCTGTAAATTCTCTAAAACAAAAAGACTGAGTCTTAGGTCCTTTCTGCAAAGGATTAAAGAGCAAAAGGGTAAAACGAGCACTCACACAAATGCCTGATCAGACAGCATCCACCATTTTTCCTAAAGCCACAGCATTCCACTTGGAAATGCAATGGATAAGACTTGCCTCACCTTCTTCCTCCTCACTGCTCCCTGGAGGACCATCTGATGGCTTCTGGTGATTGACCAACTTGTCACTGGGTGTTGCCATGGTGAGGAGAAAGGCGTAGCCCAAGAAGAGGGTCTTATTGTGGGGCAAGGGTCCATGATGGTCCTCCAGTGGTGGGGGGTCTACAGCATCTGCACCTTCACAGCTGCTTACAAACTCTCCAGCTCTCACAGACCCTGTAGAGAGACAGAAGCACCACGAGACTCAAAAGTCAGGTTTAGCACAAATACCTTGGGTAAGATTTGGGACATGTTCAACTTCTGTTATTTTTCTGGAGGAGACAGTAGGGTTAGGATTACATTAGGATAAATAGGGATCTTTCACCCTTCTGGTTGCAAAGAATCTTCATCTCAAAACCTGAGTGACTAACAGGACAATGTTTGCCAGGCTATCAACATCCTGAAACATGTACTGCTGTGAAGGGTCCCTTTAACAGCTAGGCATTTCAGGACTGACTGAACAGATAAGAGATAAGAAAGGAGAGAGGCAAATCACAACATTAAGGTCAGAACATTTCTAAAGGGCAGAACTGAAAAGATGGCAAAAAAAGTACTCACACTATGCTAAAAATATTTCTGGCTGCTGTGAATGCATCCAGTGAGAATCACTCTCCAATCCTGCAGGGTAAGCAAGCAATCTCCTCTACTTTTTGCTTATGGGAAGTGGGAAGATCAATTACAAAAATGCCAGGGAGGAAAAAAACAGCTGAATGCAAGTTTAAGAGCAGAAAATAAGATTCTCACCAGGCTTTATCACTGCTGACTTGCGGCCACGTTTAGCTGGGGATCTCTCATCTTCAGAAGCAACGAGTTTCCTTTTCCCAGACAGTGTGCCCGGTGGGACGCGTGGACTCTCCTGCCCTTTACGAGTGGGAGTTGTGCTGCTGCTGGAAGTGCTAGGAGAACCAATGTTACCACGTCGCTTCCGCTTCCCCTCCACAAGATTATCTGTAATACCGTACGCAGAGATCAGTCACTGGCTGCCACCTCACTCCACGTGCTTTCACCCTGCCTATATGGACAGAGGTGGCAAAACTCAATAGTACCCAGAAGCTACACGCTACCACCTCTGACAGACAGGGCAAGAAAACAAGGTATCTCGAGAGATCTTGCTTGTGAGTGTTTCTTCTCAAGCCCTGCACCCTGCCTGTCTCTCTTCCTCCCAGCACTGCTGAAGAGTTTGTACCCCAGCCGCCGTTCACCAGGTATAAATGAACACAGCCAGCACCGCTGTCCGAGAAGCGGGCTGCCCTCTGCAAACCCGGGAATACCACTGTGACTCTGAGCAAGACACAAAACAAGAAAAGTGTCTCAAAGATCCCATCAGGAAGTACCAAAACCATTGCTGAATACCCAAAAAGACCTAACCATGGTTAATTCAGATCAGGAACTAGAAGCATCTTAAAGCACAGATAAGATGCAGAACAGCACAGCCAGCAGCACGACAGCACCTCCCCTTACCGAGACTGATGTCAGCTGCTTTGGTCAGGGGGGTGACAGGTTCATAAGGACCCAGCCCAAACTGCTCCCGGAGCTTATTTCCTTGTTCCAGAGACAGGATGACAGCCATTCGTTTGTACCACTTCCTCTGGCCTTCCTTTTCAATGCAATAGTACAGCTCTCCGGACTCCCTCCGGTGTCCCTTCACCACACCTGACACGACAGCAAATAACACCCGTCAACCAGCTATACCCAGGCTCCTCCTCCTCCCGGACAAGTACCCATCTCCCATCATCCTTGGGCTTTCTGAGCTGCTAAGTGTGGAGCTCAGGCACTGCTCTCACCTGCACTGAAGTACTCATCCTCCGAGAGCGCCGTCACCTCAGTCTCCAGCGGGATAGGATCACAGAGTAAAATATCTCTTCCTAGCACATCACATTCATATCCATCATCAAAGAGCAGCTTGTACTTTCCTGCCCCAACATCTTGGGTAATCATCCCAGAATAGAAGTACCCATTTGAGGACCACTTTGCTACAACCCTGAGGCCCACAAAGCTGCTCCCAGAGGATGAGTCTGCGCAGTCCGAAGGGCCAGTCCCCACGTGCAATGGGATTTCTGGAGAGTCACTGCGACGTAAGGCACAGAAGCCAGAAGCGTCAGACTTCTCCCCTCCATCTGGCAGGTGAACTGAACGAGTAAATGACTTCTCCTCGGGTGATGCTGTAGTTGAGAGATCCTCCACACCCGGCAGTCCAGCTAAATCTCTATAGAAAAGAGAAGAGCACTCCCAGGAGGATCAGGAAAACAGTAACTAAACAAAGAATACTTGGGCGAGATGCTCACAGCTGCTACATGCTATCACGAAAAACTAGCTCCTGAAATATTCACTACTTTTTTTGTACTGTCACATTAAAACAGCAGCTCCCTATTCTCTTCCTCGGCAATAAATTAAAGTAACAGGCTCCTTTTTCCAGGGTACCTTGTTCCTGTTGTCCGAGATGGTGGGCGGCCTCTTCTTCCTCGCCCACGAGGTGTCAGAGGTGCTCTGCCCCCGTGACGAGTACCAGACATGGAGTCCTCCTCTTCCTCACAAGGCAGTGCTCCTGTCTGGCTAACTCTGAGCGGAGACGCTGGCTGACCAGCTCCTTTCCTGGGACTAGAGAATTTATGAGTTAACTATTCTGCAAAGACAAGCCAGCTCATTAGGATCCCCCCATTTTCTCTGTGATACCACAACCGGTCAAGAACTTTGCCTCATCACTGCTAAACTGTCAAGAGCTTAGGGAAGGCAATGCCTCACAAGGAAACAAACTCCTCCTTTAGGAAGAACAGATGTGCAAGCAAAGATTATGTCCTTATTTCTGTTCATCAAGCCAGATCCTTCCCAGAAAATTCTTAGTTTAGGGTCTACCCTGCTTCACACTCCACCCAGCCTGGGTTCACTTCTGCAGAATACCTGTTCTTCCTTTCCCAAGGCTCTGCACGTACCTTAATTTTCCTAAGACGCCTCTGCCAACAGGTAAAGCAAACTCTGCAGCTTCTGTCACACATCCTTTCCCTTTCACAGCTCCAGCTCCTTGACCTGAGCTGCTGCTGCTGCTGTGCGCGACAGAGTGGCTGCTCGCCCCACTGGATGTACGGTGGAGGCTCGAGGCCTTAGACGAGAAGGAGCTGACGTCACCAAGCTGTCCTGAGGTCAGCGACGAGCCCACTGGGGTTCTAGAGGAGGATGTATCAGTGTCACACTCCTGGCACTCCACTACAGGCTCCTCAGTTTCCTTAAGAGAAAAAAAAATGACAAAGAGGGTCGTGAAAGGTGACGCACTTGCTAGATGGAAGCTCTACAATCACCAGGCAAAAGCGCAGACAAGCTGAGATCACACTCCTGAAACTGAAGATAGCCAAGCCAGTCTGAGTCAGTTTGGCTGTTCTTTGGGAAGAAAAAAAAAAGTCAGCATGTCTTCAGAATACAATAATGGGCATGAAATACACCAGCAACAAACACACAGCTTTCGCCATGCACCACGTGTTTGCTCATGAAGAAAAGTTTGTCATCACAGCACACTGACTTGTTCCCTCAACTCCTTTTCTGCAGCCACAACACATTCTCGTTTTAATAAATTTTACTTTTGAGCCAACATATCAGTACATTGAGCCCTGGGAATAGGAACTTACCTCAACCACCTTCCGTTCCACCTCCACACCGTTTATGTAGTAAACATCTGTTATCACACGCGTGACAGTGCGCACTTCTCGAACAGTTCGCCTGTGGCGATGCAAAACTCGGCCTTTGGGTGCGTGAAGAAGGTTAAACTCCTCTTCTCCCTGTAACAAACAGGACAAATCAAAAACAAAACAGACCACAATGAAAAGCAAATAATTTCTGGATAGAGCTATTTCTGCAGTACGGTTCCTTCATACCCTGTTCAAGTAGTGAACATTTTTCTAGTAACTGGAAAGCAGCGATTTTTCTTAAGTCTGCAATACTTTCTGAAATACTAATTTGAAGTTATTAGTCTCGTTAGAACATTTCTCTGGAGGAGCTCTCCCCTCGTCTGTTTATCCATTGACATTGGAAGCTGTCAGAAGTTGGCTGGTGCAAAACAGGAGGCATCAAACCCTTCATTCAAAACTTCATGCATTTCCCATCTCCATCTGACAAAAAGTGACAATTTTTTTATAGTGTTAACTACATCTAGACACAAAAAAATCCCCAAAACCCCAACTTTTTTTTTCCTAGAAAATAAATATGGAGACATTTACTTCCCAAACTTTTGCTCCCCACTGAGTATTGCTATGTTAGCAGTCGTGTACAGCTGATACAGGAAAGCTTGCGACATTAATATTTTAAAGTGGTCTTTTGGCTTCTTTCGACAGAGGACCTACTGCTAGTGAATTTACTTCCTGAAGAAATACTTCACTGTTCTAAAGCAGGAAAATTAAATACAGCAGCCTTCATCCCACCTGGCTGTGCAGAGAATCTGTGTCCTCTCCAGAGGCGTTCACAAGCTTTTCCCCACTCTCCTCAGTTTGGACATTCGCATCTTGTCGCCCAGGTCTTTGCCCAGACATACTGGTTCCCACTTCCACCTGCCTACAGATTTCTTCTGACGTTTGTGTTTCTCTTGTAACAGTTGTTGAGGTAAAAAGACAGTCTGCTGTAGTCTGAGTCCCTTTATTCCTGGTGTTTGCCCACCTCTCTCGGCTTCCATCAACTTTCACAGCCTCACTTGGTTTCTTCCGCATTCTTCTCCCTTCTTCTATCTGAGTGGTTACAACACCAGTCTCCGCAGGCTCCCCATCCTCTGCGCCAGAAGGCTGTTGATGGCAGTCCTGCTGCATCCTCTGAGGAGTCAGGACCTGTCTACCACTGTCATCTGCCTTGCGCTGCTGGTACTGCCAGCCACTGGGATTTTTATGTAATTCAGCATCTTCTTGTGTGCCAGGAAAACTGAACAGATTCCCCCTGCAAACCAGTTATACACAGATCAAATTATTGATTAAAAAAAGCAAGACAACAAATACGCTGCCGCTCAAGTTAAAGCACTATTAAAGAAAAAAAAACCCGGCGGTCATTCAATTGCTTGTTAAGATTGCACAGAACTCAGCGAGTCTCAGTTATAAAATAACCTTTATTCAATGGTAGCAAGAAGAACGGCTGACACCTGTAGAGAACCAGGTGCTTTTCCAAACACTAACAAAGCAATCTATGCTCCACCTCAGGCACCAACTGTGCAGCACGCTTCTGGAAGTCATGCCAGCTGGAAGTTGCTACAGGTGGCTTCAACACTTCATTGGCTTGAAACTGACAACCACACCTAGCGAGAAGAGGCAGGAGCGTAAGCACAAACGCTGTCTAATGCTTTCATCAGAATTCCTGCCCTGTCCAAAGTGTTATCAGGTACTACCTGGGACCGTACACTGAGCCTTACTGGAAGTATACGCTTGACTTCCCCCGTGTACTTGAGGAGTTTGAGGAGGGACTGTCTCCTGTTCTGTCTGCACACCATCCAGCACTGGAACTCCCTGGTCATTAACATCTTCAGGATAACTACTCAATGTGCTTAAAATACAGGTTACTATTTCTCTGTAGACCAAGACCTCACTGCCCCACCAAAAGACAGAATGGAGAACACTGAAGAAGCAGATTTCTGTACTTGGTCCTGCAGCCAGCACTCTTCTCTCCATAACACACGGAGCAGTACATCCTTTTCAAAGCAACCAGAGACAGTAAAAACTCATGGACTTGGAAGGGAGACAACAGCAGAAACAATAACAAACACAATAGGTCAGATCATCTTGGAACTGGAGAAAGGTATTTAAACAGTTCCAAGGATGATCTCAGTTCTCTCAAGCCCCAGATTTTGCCACAGCGTATTGGCCAGCTGCAATCATATCGCTGCTCCATCAAAAGGTAACTCTGATTACCGTGTGAGATACACACTCACAATACTCAGTATACTTATCCTGTTGTCCCCAACCTTCTAAGTCACCCAAAGACAATGACTTAGTGCAATTTCTTTGATGTAGAAAATGTACATGTGCATATAAATCCAACCAGGACTGGCAGGCAAAGACTGTGAGGAGTTACCTAAACGGAGAAGCGGAAAGACCATGACCTCTGGCCTCATCCTCTCGACGAACTTCACAGACACGACTAAACACAGATGATGCTTTCTGGGAGCTAGCATTGCAGATTTAAAACAAACGAACAAACAGACAAACAAAAAAGCATCAGGGAGTGAGAAAATCCCTTGTACAGCAAAACAAGACTTCTCTAGCCCCTTGGGAAAGCAAGAGCTGGTACTGAGCTTGTTGACCGATACAGACGCAGAACGAGGGAGATGGTCAGTCTCAAAGGTCACGGAACAAGCTGCAATGGCTTCAGCATTTCTGCCATTTCTGCAGACACCCTAACAGCCAAGAGCAATGTAACAATTCTAGAAAACGTGGTGTGGGAAACTGCAGCGTCAAAAGGAGTTTCACCATCTACCACCTCCGGTACCCACCAGGGGACACAGTCAGACCATTTACGGCTTCCTTCTCAGGGTTTTCATGACACTCCAAAAATACTGTGAACGACAGCCACAAAGCACACCCTGAGAGACCAAGTTCAGCCTACACCGACAAAAGCAACCCATCCTCAACCAGTGAGGAATGACTGCCACCCATCCTCAGTGCTGAGGCCCAATTACCATCCAGCAGGCAACCCTGTGACAAAAGATACTGAGTTCATTTCCAAGCTTTCTCATTGCTTCAAGACACTATACTTCACTCAGGTGGCTACAGGTGACCATCTTCTAACTCAGATTCTTACTAGCGATTAGAAAACAAACTCCCTAAAAGCTAAAATCAAGCAATCCTAGGCAGTAAATGTGAGATAAGATGGATACATACATACAAATCAAAAGACCAAGGGAGTAACTGATGTTTTTGGTCCACATGTCAAGCTGTGATTTCAGTATACCGGTGACCTGGTTATGTTTCTACCAGCTTCATACGAAAATGAGAGTTTTTTTCAGAACTCCTCAGAGATTCTTTGCAGAAAATTGCACAAAAAGGAAAGAAAGCAGAAAACTGTATTTTAAATTTAAGAGGTGAATAGGGCAGACTTTCGTTCCGGACTGCAGAAGACATGAATTTCTGCTTTGACTACAACGAGAAGCAGGCAAAGCGCTGACACTAGCAGGAAGCACAAAGGCCTGTAGTGAAAGAGCAGGTGGGGCACCCACCTTGCCTATGTACTTACAAACTGCTGCGAGAGCTGGAGTTAATGCCCTAGCTAACTGCTAAAAGCCTTCCCTGCTTCTATGTCTCATTTTAGTTTTTTTCTCCCTGCTGCTGGTAACAAGGGGAAAAAGGATCTACCCAGACCTCTGTATTAACTCTGCGCAGCAACACGCCCAGTTACCTGGCAGCAGCCCCCGAGGATCCATCTTTCCTGTCGCTGGCTGTAGGCTCTGAAACAAGAAGGAAGGGAATGACGAATTCGGTGTCACCTGAACAGAGTCTTCTGTCCCTTCCCAGACCCCCACGCTCAGTGGAGAGGTTGAGTAACACTGGACAAAGGGTGCCCAGGCCCCCCTGCCCAACCTCCCTTCACAGACCTGAGTTCTTAGAAGTTTGAGGCTCTTAGACTGAATGTCACTGTTCTGACTTTTCACTGTCGAACTTTCATGTCCAGATTACAGTTTTTAAATATTTTCCCTCTCAATATAAACCAACTGCAGTTCCTGTCCTGTGAAGCTGCCACTATGCATCATAATTTCTACTCTGCTGGAAGTACCTTTCCTCCCAACAGAGGCCTCTCCTCTTGCTCCATCCTTGCTTAGTGCATTGCAGAAACAGAGAAACAAATTTAAGTGATACTGCCCAAAAAGAACAATGAGAAAAATTACAGAGACTTGGGAGACTGTCTCAGGGAAGGCCACAAAGAGGTTCTGAGTCAGGGCTGAGACCTAGCAGGACCTGTATGTTTCAAGGTTCCATGCCCTTACTTTCCAAGCTGAATGGCAGGGACTCCTCGCTCCCATCGTTCACAGGGGTAACCAGGTTCATTCGCAGCGAGAGCTTCACATCGGTCTCAGGAGCCACACGAGAATCTCCTTTCTCGCACACTTCTGACACATCGGCTGATACCACTGCGCTTTCCACGGTGACGCTGTTAGTCCCCACTGGGCTCTCTGCTGTAACATCACTGGTTGCTATAGTGCTGTCTGGGCAACTATCATCCACTGAAAACAGGAAAACAAAAAAAAGGAAAAAAGTAGCTACTGCCACTCACACCACTGGGGTTCAGGGCACAGCTCTGTTTTGAAGATGCTCCACTGCATGCATTACTAGCAACAGTGCAGTAGTGGCATTTCCTATCTGGAGTTCTGAAGCGTGAACATTCTGCAGTACAGGTATCACCCCGAGCTTGCAATCACAAGACTTTACTGTCACCCAAGCAGAGATGCACACCTCCTTCCACTCAGCAAAAGCAGGGTGTTGTTTTGTGAACACAGTAGGGAAGGTCCTGCTAAAAGACGATGAATACAGGCAACAGTCTTCTTTGAGTCTAAGGTCTTTGACTACTCAGAGGGGTCTTTTGCCTTCTTTAATGGAGTTGTATTGTGGGAACACAGTGAGTGCAAGGAAGACACGATCCATACCACCCCATACTCAGGAAGCAAACACCTTCACTGGAGACCACACAAAGAACAGCACCAGGAAAGCGAGGAGAAGGAGTGAGCCCTCCCCACAGAACAGCGATGTATTTTTGCCAAGGTATGTTTGAGTTATCCCCAGACCCTGCATAGAGAATGAAAAGCTTCTGAACAGGCTTCCAGCGCCGAACAGAGCCACCCGAGTCATACTCACCAATGGGCGTGCTGTGCCTTCTGGGTCCCATTTTAAGCTGGCCCATAAGAGGTGGCGTTACGCTGGTCAAGGGCTGAACGGTGTCACCCTCCTTCGTCAAAGTAAAATGAAACAGGGTTCCTAAAGACAGAGCACGCCACGATTAGTCATTTCAGGGGACTCCTTTGGTCGAAATACCAAAAGCAGAGGCTTACCGTGCTGTGGAAATGGGTAAAGGCATAATCTTGGTGCTGTCCCGTACAAACCCCCCCGAACAGGTTTCATGACAGCTGCTCTAACTGATCTTCCTCACATTTTGCGTGGAAAATCTCTCCCGGTGAAAATCGGGGCTGCTGTCCCCAGGTGCTAGGCAGAAGTGAGAGTAAACATCCTGGCAGGAACAGGACTTTCACAGAATGCAGCTCTGCTTCAGAAAAGCTCAGGATTTTCCACAGAAGAGGGAAATGAGGCCAGAAACAGAAATGAAGGCTAGGACAGAAGTGAATGGGCAGAGCTATGTGTTGCCTGAATTAATAACCTGCAACTTCCACAGAAGGATGCTTTACAAGGTCAGCAGATCAATTTCAGATAGCCACCCAAGAGCCCAAACAATTGGCAGCAGTCAGGTAAGGTTCAGATGAGGACAGCAGCAGAAACCTGCCTGGAAAGGAAGCTTTAGGAGAAGTAACAGACATTGCAGTTTCATAACCAGCTGCAGGCTGCCAGCCTCCCATCCCCTCCAACACTTCTGTCCCTTCTCGTGCAGCCTCCAGCGTAAGGGGTCTGAAAGGTCTGCTGGCTGAGGTCGCCCATCTCCTCAGGGAAACCACACCTTGGTGGATTTACCATGTGTGGATCTTGTGGGATTTAACAGATAAAATGCATTAAAAACCTAATAAAATGCTCCCTCCTTTTGCCTCACCTCGTGCCATTTATTTGCAAGCCTTCAACATCATGTATCAGTAATTTGCAGTTTGCATTCTTTCCAAATTGCATCGAAGTATTTAACAAAACTAACAGAATAAACCTTCCTCCCCACACTGAGGTCAAAATAGGCTTTCATCATCTTTGTCATTATCCTTCCTTTTCCCTTTGTCCTAAAACTGTATTTCTTCTTTGGGTTTTATTCAAGATAATACTCCAATAATGCAAGTCACAATTTACGTAACTCTGAATTTTAAGAAGCATGTATTAAAAAAAACCCAAAAACTAAAACTAAAGAGTACTGGTAAATTGTTAGTTAAGGTCATGAGGACACAAATTCAGGTTACTTCAAGAGCTAGCACTACATACTCAGATAGCTGTAATGCAGTGCACAATTTTCCAGTTACACAAGACGCTGACATATGACGATTTGTATAACTACCTTGTGGCAAACGAAGCCATGAATACATGGCAAAGACATAACGACCCCACAGAAGAAAACCCAACCAGTGAAAAGCCATCTATTGTTCCTCTGAAAACCATCCTCTGCCCTGCTGTCACA